CAGGTACAACTGCTTCCTGAACGTTTGCTGAGAACATATGCATTGTTGATCGAACAGTGGTAGAACTCTTAGGTGACGACATTCTTGCAACAGAGTTTTTGCGAGACATAATTTCGTGGTTCTTCTTGGTATGTGAAGGAGCTCTGCTTGGAATACCAGGTGCTTCATCACCAGATGCAATCTCAATCGATTTTTTGCCAAAGTTGAATGCCGAAAGATGATCTCCGGCTGGAGTTACTGGCGAACGAGATTCAATTGATAATGTATCGGCAGAAGTTAGACTTGTCGAGCTAGTCATTCGCGAGGTATCTGACTCTTCTCCGGAATGGGTTGATGCCGTACTGCTTGACGCAATTCGTTTACTAGCATCCTGTGGGTAGAGATCCGGAGCATTGTATGACAACATATTGGTTGTAGAGAGAAGTTCAGTTGGGGCCGAAATCTGTGCGCGCTTAATAGTACCACGAGCGAACTTTGGAGTTACGGGTCGTTGCGCAGTTGGTGAAGGAGCGGCGACATCGAGCTGCTTCTTTGCCCTCCTAGTTGTAAATGCGCGTGCGAGAGACATATTTGCTGATATGGCAAATTCGGAATCTGTCTTCCGGATAAGATCAACTACTTTCTGGAGGTGATATGGTGGGGGTATATATTATCCCCGGTAAGATAATCCGGATTAGATCTTCCGACGGGTAATCTTTATCAGTGCAGGAGGTTGACTGAACAAGATTGGTAGTTGATCAGATGTTTCCTGCAGGTGAGCTTCCGGAATATGTCTGGTTGGACAAGAAATCTTTTTTGAAGCTTTCAAAGTGAAGAAGCTTTACTTTTGTATGTCGCACGACTATCTTCTCTTCGGTAGGAATGACCTTGATTTTGAAGGAATGACTCTGTGTCGCAAATCTAAGATCGACGCGGGCCGATCTGGAAAAAGTGACTCCTTCAGGGTGCCTAGGTACTGTTGATTCTGATTTGATGTATCGAAGTGAATGTATGGATATGTACTGATAATTTTGATCTGTTGTGATGATGTGTATTGGCAAAGAAGAAGTGAATATGTTGCTGATAGACACGTCTTTTTCGTGGGATTCCAAAATGAATGTTGGAAGTTGGGAAAGTTAATTCGAAAGGGAGGGATTGTGGGATATGTGAATTTCCTGTTTGTCGATAATGAATGTGTCGAACAATCTGTAGATGCAGCAATCAAGGCAAACTCTGAGGGAATGTATACTTCAACCAGACTCTTGTTTGAAGAAATAAAATCGAAAGATATCTAATCGATCCTGCGATGAATTTTGGTGGTTAAGAGGTATTGAGCAAAAGAAGGGAAGGGAAGAGGAAAGGAAAGGAAAGGAAGGATTTCCAAGATGACAAGGCCACTTTGGGTAAACGGGGGAGTTGTCAAATGGTTAAGGGTCAAAAGGTAAAAGAGGCAGAATAGGCCAAATGATACTAATTCTTTCTTTTGGGTCTTTTTTTGACCGAGACCAAGAGACACAAAACAAACAAACAAGCATTTTTACTTCACTTTTTTCAATGGACGGCTTCACATTCACCAGGATTCCTTTTTTTTCTTTCTCCCCTACTGTGTCACCAGGATTAGGAAACAAAAGAACCAACATGCATGTTACCAAGGGGGGGAAGATAGATGAATTTTTGCGTGCAGATGATTTAAACCGACTGTAGCATAGTCAAAAGTCAAAAGTCAAAAGACCCTAAAAGAGGGAATGTTCCCCTTGTCGAAAGAGATGCCCAAGCTTTCACCGGGCATTGATTAAGACTGATTGGACGATGATGTGAATGTGAAAAAGGAAAAACAAATCAGAAATGGAGAAAAGGCCATACTCTGTAGAGAAGAAGGGATAATTACAATTGATGCTGAGCTATTTCATTCATGATGCATCCAATCATTCCAATGAGATCCATGATCCGCAGGAAAGTATGTGGGAAAGTTTCCCGGAGCTGGAGTTCTCCTTCTGATCAACAGTGAACTCCTTCATCAGGCTAATTCTCCGGTATCATTACTATCTGAGCGCCCCCAAAAAGAATCATGAGTAATGTCGTGAAGTAATGTCGTGAAGTAATGTCATCTTCTGATGATGGGATTCATTTTTAGTTTTGGGTTGGTACGAAATGCACTCCAGATGATTCCCATTGTCGAAATCCATCTCATCATCAAATCGTTTAACTAGGTACCGGTAAATTGTAATCCATTGATGCGCAAGAGAAGAAAGCTAGGCATTTTTCCCTCGATCCAGATCACAAACCAAGATCACACAAACTCCCGTCTTGTAAACGCCCTGGTCAAGAGGCGTGGCGTGGCGTAGCGCAGCCCGCGCAGCTCGCGCAGTTTATTATATTTATGTAGCTTCGAGTGGGCCACGCTTTCATGTTGATAGGGAAGATGTTAGCTCTGATTGGTTCGTTTCAACCATCTGATGTTTTAACGTTTCAGGTACACGATCCCTCGTGGAGAATGGGTTGTCTGACTGCCAGTCATTTGGCATGTGTAGCATTAGCATGAGTATGGCGAGCATGGGATGGATCATGGCATGGCATGGCATGGTCAAAGCAATGCGGAACAGAAATGTGGGTTAACTTTCAAGTGAGCTTGTACAATGTCTGAAGGTCGATAGTTGTGTGTATTGTGTGAGTTGTGTGAGTTGTGTGAATTATGAATTGGAGATCCCGATGGATGGAGGCAATGATCAATGAGCTATGAGCTATGAGCAATAATAGCTTTGGGGTACATTGTAGAGGACTCGAGTGGGAGTGGGTGTAAATGTGGCAGTGATAATGATAATGATACTCATGTAGGTATAATGGGGGATACAGAATACAGCCAACACATATCTTCATTCAAATGCCGATTTTGTGTTAACAGACCAATCAATCCTTCATCTTGCCGTCTACCACTCTTCTTCAGACTTGAACGGTACACTACATGACTTGCATTCCCTACCTTACCTCTCTGGGATCCAGATCATTCAACTACCAAATCAATAATCAACACATACAGTTCACCACACCACACGACACTCACCAAGTGTAACGTTCGTGTACGAAATACCAGCCTCTTCACACCAGAAGGAATTGCTGAAGGAAGAGGCAAAGAGGATTCAATTGTCTAGACTGTAGACCAATCTGATGCCGGTACTACCTACGATAACAAGTACTCCTTAGGTAGGTGTCTTTCGTAATCTTCCATTACTACAGCGGCCAAACTCAACCAGATTGTTACACTACCTGTCTGCTAATCAGTAAGTAAGTATTAATCATAGTAAAGTCGTTCATCCATTCATCATCTACTTTGTATCACTCCATTCATTCCACATACAGTCCACACAGTACATCGACTCTAAAACCCATACATAGTTCATCTCATCCACACTCCAAACGATCAACCATTAACTCAAGTGTCTAAAGTACCCATCAATGCTATGCTATTCTATCCATCCCGCTCCAAAATTCTTTTGTCTCTTTCGTTTCTTGTAGATCCGATCTCTGAGAAACCCATTTTTTCACATCTAGATTCTAGAACTCGTCGATTATCAATTAATTCTCTCACCCAACACAAATTGTTACTCATAGTTTACTCACCCCTTCCACCACCTATCTAGCCATCAAATTGCATCAATCCTCTCTCAACTCATACACTCATATATGCAACAAGCAAAATCTATAAATAAATCTTGACAGCCCCAAACGCTATTAACGCAACGCGTATCGTGTACGTTCAATCTATCATCTTTCTTTCTTTTCTCCGCGCCAATATTGCAAGTAAACGCCAAACTCAAAATTCAAATCAATGTTCCTCCTGTGCTTCATCCCATCCCATCTCCCATTCTTACCCGTTTCGACCACTCTGACACCTCTATCTGTCTCTAGGTAACCTCTGATGCCGACTCTGACTCTGACTTCGGATCCGAATATCACACTTCACTTAGCTTCATGTCATCTCACATCTTCTCATACCGTATCTTCTCATCTCATCTCATCTTATCTCATATCATATCCAACAACCTCCAACCTCCAAACAAACTCCCATCCATAACTTACGTGAAAATGTGCGCGCGGCTGCACTGGGTTGATTTTATCTCCACCCACCTATGAAAAGAAGTTTCTGTCCTCCTTTCTTATTTTCTTACTCTTCCTTTCTTACAATATGCGCTGGATCATCTCGCTTCGGGTGGGCATGTTACTTATGACTACTTATTGCATGCTGTACACGCATACATCTCATAGCGCACCGCGCATGCGGTGGAAGCCGTATTCATTCATTTCATACTTCGTACATGCCACCCATACAATCTCATTTCATCATGCACCTCTCCTCATACATGCGAAGTACATCATGGACCCCTAAATTACCTACCCACCTACCGAGAGAATCTCCCACCCTACCATCCTACCATCCATTATCCTCTGTACTTTTCCATAAACTCCTCAACATCCCGACCAATGTCCATCTCCTCTCTACAGCACAAAAACCCCAGAAACCCACTTCCATAACACCCTGACCAAACTCCCCAACAAGCGGGAGCAAGCCTCAAAAAAAAAAAAAAAAAAAAAGAGAGATTCCCCAGTTTTCAATCTATTCGCCTTACAGAGTATACATACCGATGAAATGAATTGGAAACGAGATGAGATGAATGCAAGACATGTCGTACAAGGCATATGTCATGAACATCCTGGAAATTTCGTTTCGTCTCATTCCCAGACCAGGCACCTACCAAGGTACTGACTGTACTGTACAGTACACATGCACCCAAATTCCAAAGTGAGTAATCCAGGCGAAAAAAGTTGGATCTTCATCTCAAATTCCCGGATGAACAATGGGGGAGGGATCTGCATTTACCGAGTAGTCATATAGATTGCAACTTCATATATATGAAAAGATTGCCGAATGTGATAATTTTGAATTTTGAATTTTGAATTGGTATTTGGTATTTGAATTTTGATTTTAGGTCTTCTAAATAAAAAGAAAGACATCATGTGCTTAATTAATCATCCTCATCCATAGATTCAACTTCACCTCCCTCTGCCTCGGAAAGCTCTTCATCATCTTCCGACTCGCTATCATTTTGTACACCCACTAATCTTTCCTTAATCTCTCCCTCAACAGGTGCCACTCTATCCGCAAATGCGCGTCGTACACCAGGGTTAGTACTGCAATCCCAGACTTGCACGAGTCCCTTGCTACCTGCGACTGCCAGTCGGAAACTGACTTCTTCATCTGGTGCAAAGGTGGTTGAGAAAACCTTTCCAACATCCAAGTCTCGTGATACAACCATTGTAGGTCCGGTGGGTTGAATGTTCCAAAGTTTAACTTGCTTATCTCCTGATCCAGTAGCCAAGAATCCGGGAATGGTAGGGTTTATGTCAAAGGACGAAACGGAGTCGTCATGTGCTTGGAGCATCCATACTGGCTTAGTAGCACTTGGGTTCGCTGGAGCTTTTCTGATATCGTGGAAATGAATGACACCACTCTCAGTGGAGACGTAAAAGTAGTTTGAGTCGTGAGGATCCCATCGGACATTCTCGACGTCACTTTCGACTCCCCATCGAGGTGCCTTCGCATCTGGCGCTCTCATATCTGCTGCTACCACTGTTCTATCATAACTACCACTCAGGAGAACGGTAGATTCCTTTGGATGCCATGCTAATGAACATACTTTGTCTGTGTGATGTGTGTATGACTTGGCACATGTGGTGGTGTGTAAATCCCAGAGTTTGACCGTCTTATCCGCAGATGAGGATGCCAATAAGTTTCGGTGATGTCTATTGGCAGCTAATGAAAGAACTGCATCCACGTGAAATTCGTCATTGGCTTTCTTCGACTTCTTGTTCTTCTTCTTTTTCTTAGCCCCTTCATCTCCACCTTTGTTTTGTCCACCTTGCCCCAGGATAGCATTAGGATACATGCAATCAACTGTATCTAAATCCCAAATCTCAATATCCGGGTCGAATGTTCCAACAGCAACGAAATTTGCCCTCGAGTCCTTGTCCACACTTGGCTTTCCAACAGGCAAATCGAGCCATTCTACACAAAGAGGTATTGCCGGTAACATAATATCGTGATGTACGTAAAGATTATCAGCTCCATCTTCGTAAACATATACTTCAAGATGTGCGATTTCATCTTCTATCTTTGCCGCCAGCAGCATGTTGTCTGTTGCCAATATTTGAAGTTCTTCCCTGTCCTCATCTTCATCCTCTGCGTTTCCTGCCATTGTAATATATGGATCTTCCTCATTCGATTCGTGATATGCAAGTGATTTGACATTTCCAAACATAGCCATTCCCTCACCACCATTCTTGTCTTCTTCAACCTCATCATCATAATGATCCAAATCGTATTCTTTTAAATCGTCATCCTCATCACTGCGGAAAAGTCAGCGAAATAATGTAAATTGTGAGCACTAAACTAACGCTGTTGATTTCACTCCTTTAGGCGCTTCATCGTCATCTGAACCTTCATCATCGACCATAGCATCTGGATCTGCGCCATTTTCTGCTTCATTTTGCGCTTCTTCCAAATCATCGTTCGCATCATCCAATTGTAACTTCGCAAGATCCGCAATTCGCTGAAATTCTTCTTCATCAAAGTTATATTTTGTTGGAAAAGGAGCTGCAAAGCCCCGAGGAACCCATGCGGTTGCTGTGATCATAGACATGATGTTATGATATTATATCAGGATTGTAAAAAAAAGCTCACAAATCGACTGGAGCGGGGATATAAAAATGTTCTATTTGATCAACTTTTTTATTTTTTATCTTAGCGTTATCTTGATTATTGCGGCCGCTTGAGCCCACTAGCGTCATAGACCCTTCTCATAATACACTGACGTTCCTCAATGGGCCACTTGCCAATCAAACACTTCTTATTAAACTCCTCAATTGGCTGTGGGAATTTTGTTCGAGTTTGAGACTTGTGTTGTACTCTCACAGCTAGAGGGAAATTTGAGTTTTGAGGTTGAATCTACTCGTTTACCATCAATGAGTATTTGCTAGCTTCACGATCACGTGTAGATAACCACTTATCAGTTCTGTTATCACATATTTGTTTACTTCCCTGTACACCGAAATTTGATCCAACAATCATCTACCATTGCATTCATCAACCTAAGATGGAAGACCACGAATACGAAGGAGCACGGCCGAAGCGACGCAAGTTGGATCCTAAGCCGAAGCCGAAGCCATTTGTTGACATCAAACCGGAGCCATTTGTTGATGAAGAGGATTCGAAAGCTCTAGATAGAGACTGGTACGCAGATGACGGAGACGAATCGCACAACCCATTCGGCTCCTACGACAATCCTTGGGCGGATTCCCAACGAGAAGCACCTTTGATCGAGAAGAAGATTGTGAAGCGACAGAGCGCGCGCGCAGCTCAAAAAGAAAGGGATGTCGATGCATGGGAGACGGGTCGATTGCTCGCCTCTGGTGTTGCACAACGAAGACGCTTTGAAGATGATTTTGAGGATGACGAGGAAGCCACCAGAGTGCATTTACTTGTACACGATCTTAAACCTCCATTCTTAGATGGAAGAACTGTTTTCTCGAAGCAATTGGAGCCTGTACCAGCAGTGCGCGATTTCCAGAGCGACATGGCAGTTTTTAGTCGCAAAGGAAGCAAGGTAGTGAAGGAGAGGCGACAGCAAAAAGAGAGGCAAAAGCAGGCTCAAGAAGCAACGAATATGGCTGGTACAGCGCTTGGAAATCTCATGGGTATCAAAGAAGAGGAAGGCGACAGCGCAGCTCCAATGATGGGCGAGGAAACACAGGGGTCTAATAAATTCGCACAGCATATGAAGAAGAACGACGGCGCTAGTAACTTCAGTCAAAGCAAATCTCTGAGAGAGCAGAGAGAATATCTTCCTGCATTTGCTGTACGAGAGGATTTGCTAAGGGTCATTCGAGATAATCAGGTGGTAATTTGTGTCGGCGAGACTGGATCCGGAAAAACGACTCAACTTACTCAATTTCTCTACGAAGAAGGTTATGGAAAAACGGGTCTGATAGGATGTACGCAACCTCGAAGAGTAGCAGCTATGTCTGTAGCAAAGCGTGTCAGCGAGGAGATGGAATGCCCACTGGGGGGGACTGTTGGATATGCTATTCGATTCGAGGACTGTACGAGCAAGGACACAGTAATAAAGTATATGACAGACGGTGTCCTATTGAGAGAATCTTTAAATGAGCCAGATCTGGATCGTTACTCCTGCATTATCATGGATGAAGCTCACGAGCGGGCACTCAACACAGATGTCCTCATGGGTCTGATGAAAAAGGTTCTTGCACGCCGTAGAGATGTCAAGCTGATAGTCACATCTGCAACGATGAACTCGAAACGATTTTCTGATTTCTATGGTGGAGCCCCGGAATTCTTCATTCCCGGACGTACCTTTCCAGTCGATATAATGTATCATCGCTCACCCGTTGAAGACTATGTCGATCAGGCGGTTCAGCAAGTATTAGCTATACATGTATCCCAAGGCGCAGGTGATATTCTGGTGTTTATGACTGGACAAGAAGATATCGAATGCACTTGTGAGCTTATCCAGGAACGCCTCAATGCTCTCAATGATCCGCCGAAGCTTAGCATTCTACCCATTTACAGCCAAATGCCTGCAGATTTACAAGCCAAGATTTTCGACAGAGCTGCACCTGGAGTTAGAAAAGTCATCGTGGCGACCAATATCGCAGAGACCAGTTTGACTGTCGATGGAATTATGTATGTTGTGGATGCTGGATACTCGAAATTAAAGGTGTACAACCCGCGCATGGGAATGGATACTTTACAGATCACGCCGATCTCACAAGCGAATGCGTCTCAACGTGCTGGTCGTGCTGGGCGTACTGGTCCAGGAAAAGCTTTCCATCTCTTCACTGAAGCTGCTTTCAAGGATGAGCTTTACATTCAGACCATTCCTGAGATCCAACGCACAAATCTCAGCAATACTGTTCTATTATTGAAGTCTTTAGGGGTGAAAGACTTACTTGACTTTGATTTCATGGACCCTCCACCCCAAGATACTATTACCACTTCATTATTTGATCTTTGGGCACTCGGGGCACTGGATAACATTGGGGAATTGACGGACATAGGAAGAAAAATGACGGCCTTTCCCATGGACCCTCCTCTAGCCAAATTACTCATCACGTCTGAAAAATACGGTTGTACCGAAGAGATGCTTACAATAGTTTCCATGCTCTCAGTTCCTAGCGTTTTCTACCGTCCAAAGGAACGTCAGGAAGAGTCTGACAGCGCACGCGAAAAGTTTTTTGTCCCAGAATCAGATCATTTGACTTACTTGAACGTTTACTTACAATGGAAGTCCAATGGTCATTCGGATGCTTGGTGTACACGTCATTTTCTCCATCCGAAATCTCTTCGTAGAGCTAAAGAGATTAGAGATCAACTGCTAGATATCATGAAAATGCAACGCATGAATATGATTTCTTGCGGCGCTGATTGGGACATTATACGCGAATGTATCTGTTCAGGTTATTACCACCAAGCTGCTAAAGTCAAGGGAATAGGCGAATATGTTAATTTGCGCACTTCGGTGACAGTACAGTTACATCCTACATCCGCGCTTTACGGACACGGAGATCTACCTGACTACGTTGTTTATCATGAGTTGATTCTCACATCAAAAGAATATATGTCTACTGTTACAAAGGTAGATCCACATTGGCTAGCAGATTTAGGTGGTGTTTTCTTTAGTGTGAAAGAGAAGGGATATAGTGCGAGGGAAAAGAGGGTCACTGAAACGGAGTTCAATAGAAAGATGGAGATCGAAGTGAAGATGGCCGAGGATAAGTTGAGGGAAGAAAAGAGAGTTGAGGCAGAGAACAACAAACTCGCGAGGAAACCGATGGCTATCACAGACGGAAGCGGGCCGTTAGTCAAGAAAGTCGCTACGAAGGGTGCTGTAAGAAGACCGGTGGCGAGAAGACCAGGAAGGGGATTTTAGAGTGGCAAAGAGAAGAGAGCGTGTTTCATATACATGAAATTATGCATATATCCTTAGACTAATTGAATATACCAGCTCTTTGAGCATCATGCTATTACACAGACTACAGAATCGCGTTTTCTTCTATCCAGGCTTTATGGCAGCATAGTACATGTAGCCACCCAAGCTTTAACATATTACTGCCGCGGGTGTAAAGATGCTTTAATGAAACATCTAAAATTACATTCCATATCAATGCCAATGATTCATTTCCCCATGACATCATCATGACATAGCGCTAATACACCCGCATAGCTATAGCCCGAGTCTCCTGCATAATCCATATCGAATTGCCCTAATTGTTTCTGAGGAGTAAGCTTTGACATGGTGAATCGAAATCTTCGAGCCTCGTCTAGCCGTCTAGTCGGTCGACTGTTCAACATATCAGACAAGAGTGCGCATATGAAATTCAGTACGAATGAACCATACCAACTGCATCAAGTCGCACGAGTACACACCTAGGTAAAAGATAGGCAAGCATTTAGTTAGAAGTTAGAAATTATAGAAACCTAACAGCCAACTGCAAATGCGCGCACCGGATCCATTCTATCTATCCATTTGTAAATTGTGTATTGCAAAATGTACGGGTACTTGAATTTCCTATCCCAACATCCCCATCCCGTTCCACGCCAGAAAGAAAGCCCAGACCAGAAACCCTATTCTCCGATGCCATAACCCCATACACCATGCTATCCCTCCATGAACCTTTTCTCACCTAGGTGATTTGACTGTCAACCCTCAACCCCTAATTGCCGGGAAGACTATCGCAATTCAATTTCCCGCCCGAAGTGGCGATTCCCTTGTCTGTTACATGTATTAGGAAAACGGATCAGATATCAAGAGAGAGGAAGAAGAAAAGACATACCGAGATCAATGCAGACGCCGCTTGGAACGGTGCCGCCGTTTGCTTTACCACAACCACAGCAGAGGTTTGGCATTTGGAGTGAACAGCCGCAGGAGTTTTGGAACATGCCACTACGTAGTTGATATGTTAGAAAAGACTGAAAAGAGTTGGAAATGTGAGACTGCTTACTTTCTCTGCCACTAGTTTCTTGATATCAGTATAAGAATCTGAAATGCATAAGGAATGGAGGACTTACGACAAGATGAGCATCGTTGTTTCCGAGACATGTATTCAAATTCAAAGTAGAATTTGACATGTGGCCCGCAGAATTAGGACAGAGTCCAGAGAGAATAGGTGTGACGGTAAAGGTAAATTGAGGAGCCGGACCTAATTCGATGTCGTCGTAAAATTTAAAGGTAGACGCATCGCATTTGCTCATGAAGCCTCCTGCGCTAGTGATTACTGCAGCCGCATGAACGACGGAGAGGAGGAGAGAAATAAGAAGTACGGAGTTGAATAATTTCGACATTGTTGATATCGTGTTGCAGTTTTGTGTAGTGTGTTGTGCGTTGTGCTGAAAGATCTTTGAAGAAACTGCGTCGAACTTGGGCAGGTGTTGTAAATTTAAGCTTACCATGCGGGGTACGTAGAGCCGTAGAACCGGAGAGAGTTGTCCCAGTGAACGCAGCGAGGTCAGTGAATATATTAAATGATATAGAGCATTAATTAATAAACATGGCACATGGGCTGAATTCACCAACAAGAAATCCGAGAGTTGGCGTCGTCTGACATCCTGGTCAAAATTGGGCTG